AACCTCCGGATCCAACGCATCATCCTCTGACACTTCCACCATCTGCAATCTGACCCCACCAAAGACATTTTTCCCTCCCCACCCTTATCTGCTTTCCAGAGGGACCACTCTCTCCGTGACTCCCTTGTCTGCTCCACACTCCCCTCCAGCCCCACCACACCCGGCACTTTTCCCTGCAACCGCAGGAAGTGCTACACCTGCCCCTACACCTCCCCCTCACCCCCATCCCAGGCCCCAGGAAGACTTTCCACATCGTGCAGATGTTCACCTACACATCTGCAATTGTATCTGCTGTTCCCGTTGTGGCCGTCTCTACATCGGGGAAACCGAGCGGAGGCTTGGGGACCGCTTTGCAGAACACCTACGCTCGGTTTGCACGAAACAACTGCACCTCCCAGTCGCAAACCATTTCAACTCCCCTTCCCGTTCCCCAGACGACATGTCCATCCTAGGCCTCCTGCAGTGCCACAACGATGCCACCCGAAGGTTGCAGGAACAGCACCTCGTATTTCGCTTGGGAACACTGCAGCCTAATGGTATCAATGTGGACTTCACAAGCTTCAAAATCTCCCGTTCCCCCAACCGCATCCCAAAACCAGCCCAGCTTGTCCTTGCCTCCCTAACCTGTCCTTCCTCCCACCTCAAGCCCCACCCCCACCTCCTACCTACCAGCCTCATCCCGCCCCCTTGACCTGTCCGTCCTCCCTGGACTGACCTGTCCCCTCCCTAAGTCCCCACCTACACTCACCTTTTACTGGCTCTGTCCCCACCTCTTTGACCTGTCTGTCGTCTCTCCACCTATCTTCTTCTTTATCCATCTTCTAACCACCTCACCCTCTCTCCCTATTTATTTCAGAACCCCCTTCCCCTCCCCCATTTCTGAAGAAGGGTCTAGGCCTGAAACGTCAGCTTTCCTGCTCCTCAAATCCTGCATGGCCTGCTGCGTTCATCCAGCTCTACACCTTGTTATCCCAGTCAATCCAACCTTTTCTCACAGCTAAACTCCCCTATACTAGGCAACATCCTGGTAAATCTTCACTGCCCTGTCCAAAGCATCCACATCCTTCTGATAATGTGGTGATCAGAACTGTATGCAATATTCCAAGTATGGCCTAACTAAAGTTCTGTAAAACTGCAGCATAACTTGTTTATCCTTTATGCTCAGTGCCCCTTCCAATGAAGGCAGCATGCCATAGGCCTTTTTTACTACCTTATCTACTTGTGCTGCCACCTTCAGTGATCTGTGGACCTGCACACTCTGATCTCTCTGCATGTTAGTACTGAGTTCTGCCATTCACTGTATAATTTCCACCTCCGAGTCATAGAGATATACAGCACTGAAATAGACCCTACAGCCCAACTTATTCATGCCAACCAGATAGCCTTTATAAATCTAGTCCCATTTGGCCCATATCCCTCTAAACCCTTCCTATTCAGTGACTTTCCAAAATGATTAGCCATGTGAATGCAAGGTTACGGTTGGGGCGGCTACTGTTTGGAGGGGCAGTGTAGACCTGATGGGCCAATGGCCCGCTTCCACGCTGTAGGGATTCTATGAAGTCATACATCGTCCTAACCTGAACTTTGGCAGCATGGTGGCACAGTGGTTAGCACTGCTGCCTCTCAGCGCCAGGGACCTGGGTTCGATTCCACCCTCGGGCAACTGTCTGTGTGGAGTTTGCACGTTCTTCCCATATCTGCGTGGGTTTCCTCCAGGTGCTCCGTTTTCCTCCCACAGTCCAAAGATGTGCAGGCTCGGTGGATTGGCCGTGCTAAATTGTCCGTAGTGTTTCATTAGGTGGGTTTATAGGGGGATGGGTCTGGGTGGGATGCTCTGAGGTTCAGTGTGGACTTGTTGAGCCGAAAGGCCTGTTTCCACACTCCAGGGATTCTATGTATCACCATACATTTTGTCTGGGTTAAACTCCATCTGCCATTTTTGTGCTCATGCTCCAACTGATCTATATCCTGCTCTATCCTCTGACAATCCTCCTCACTATCCGCAACTCCGCCAATCTTAGTATCGTCTACAGACTTACTAATTAGACCAGCTATGTTTTTCCTCCAAATCACTTATGTAGATCACAAACAGCAGCGGTGCCAGTGCAGGTCCCTGTGGAATTCCACTAGTCACAGCCCTCTGTTCCGAAAAGCATCCTTCCACAGCTACCTTTTGACTCCTATGACTAAGCCAGTTCTGCATCTGTCTTGCCAGCTCCCCTCTAATACTATTTGACTTCACCTTTTGTACCAGTCTGCCACGAGGGACCTTGTCAAAGGCTTTACTGAAGTCCACGTAGACAACATCAACTGCTTTTCTCTCATCAATCGTCTTCGTCATCACCTCAAAAAAACCCAATCATAATAGTGAGACATGACCTCCCCTGCACAAAGCCATGCTGTTTATCACTAATCAGTCCATTTCCACCTAAATGCTTATTGATCTTGTCTGTGAGAATCTTTTCCAACAATTTATCTACCACTGATGTGAGGCTCACAGCCTGTAATTTCCTGGAATATCCCTGTTATCCTTTTTTTAAACAATGGGACAAGATTAGCTATTCTCCACAGTCCTCACTTGTGGCCAGAGAAGATACAAAGATGTCTGACAATGCTTCAACAATTTGTTCTCTCGCCTTTCCCAATATTTTGGGATAAATCCCATCAGGACCCGGGACTTACCTATTGTAATATTTTTTAAGATGCACAACATCTCTTCCTATTTAATAGCAACTTGGCTTAGAAATTCAACACTCCTTTTCCTGAGATCATCTTCCATCAATTCCTTCTCTTTGGTGAATCCCACACAAAGTATTCATTTAAGACCTTACCTACCTCTTCTAGCTCCACACGTACATTCCCTCCTTTTGCCCTTGAGTGGGCCAACCTTTTCCCTGGCTACCCTCTTGTTTTTTATATATGTATAAAAAACCTTGGGATTATATTAACCCTATTTGCTAACGACCTTTCATGACCCTCATTAGCCCTTCTAATTCCTTGCTTAAGTTCTTTTCCCCTATCCTTTATATACTTAAAGGGCTTTGTCAGTTCCCATCCTCCTAGACCTTATGTATGCTTCCTTTTTCTTTGGATGACCGGGGATGTTATGTCCCTGGTCAATGTTCACATAAGTTACCATACCTATCCTTCATTCTTGCAGGAACGTGTCGCTCCTGAACTCTTATCAACTGGCATCTGAAAATACTCCCACATGTCTGTGGATTTACCCTTAAGCAGCCACCTCCAATTAACACACTCCGGTTCCTGCCTAATGTTGTTGTAGTTCACCCCCCACCCAACCCTACCCCGGATTTAACATTTCACCTGGGAATGTTGCTATCCCTATCTCTCAGTAACTTAAAACACACGGTATTATGGTCATTACTCCTGAAATGCTCCCCCACTAACTTCACTCACCTGGCTAGGCTCGTTTCCCAAAACTAGGTGCAGTACAACTCCTTCCCTGGGTGGACTGATTACATACTCTGTCAAGAAACCCTCCTGTATGGTCCTTACAAATTCTGCTCCATCCAAGCCCATAATACAATGTCGGTCCAGTCAATACAAGGGAAATCAAAATCATTCACCACACCAACCCTGCTGTTTTAACATCTTTCTAAAATCTGTCTGCATATCCTCTTGTCTATCTCCTATTGGCTGTTGGGAGGCCTGTAATATACCCCCAGCTAGGCCCTCAAGCTGTTTGTAGTCTCTATTAATGACTTAGATAAAGGGACTATGTTTAATGTAAATAGAGATGCTGACGATACAAAGGTAGGAATGGAAGCTGTGAGGAGGACAATCTTCAGTAGCAAGATTGAGTGAGCAACCAAGATGATGACGTGGAATATACTTGTAAGAATAGGCAAAAATGTTGATGGATGAGAAACAACTAAATCTGGATACTCAGGAATTTGCTTGTCCCATTACTATATATGAAATGCAGTTGCTGTACCTGCATGCAAACTCATTAGAAAGGTACATATGTTTGCCAAAAGGGGTTGTAATGAAAGATTGAGAAAGTGTGTGTGTGGTAAGGGCTGGGAATGAGAGAAAAATGTCAGTGGGTGCAATAAAGATTCTAGGAATATTGCCTGTTTTTTTTTTTTGGGCGATATTGAGTAAAATGAGTATCTACTCACTGAATTTTAGAAGAACAAGAGATCTTATTGTAACTTAAGATTGAGAAAGTTGGCCCAGCATTAAACTTTATAAAAAAAAAAAAAAAAAAAAAATTGTGTCGATGCTGAGTATTGTTGTCCCTGGTAAGTGACTTCAGAGCTGGGGAGCATAATTTCAGGATTATAACAGTTCTGGGCTGAGGAAATGGAATTTCTTCACTGTGTTCTGAATCTTCTGAAATATTCTACCCCAAGGAGCCATGGCTGTTCTTGCATTGAATATATTTAAGGCTCAGATAACTGAGTTGTTGAGGAGGCATAGCCTAGTAGTATCATTGCTAGACTTGTTATTCCAAAGACTCAGGTAATATGTGTTAAAATCCTGCCATAGTAGATGGTGGAATTTGAATTTAGTATTCTGAAATATTGAAAATATGGAATTAAGACTCTAGTGATTATGAAACCATTGTCAATCGTCAGGAAAACCCATCTGGTTCACTAATGTCCTTCTGGAGAAGAAAACTGCCATCCTTACCTTGCCTGTTATACTTGTGACTCGAGCCACAGTAGCGTGGTTGACACTTCAATGTTCTCTGAGCACGTGGGGATGGACAGTAAGCACTGGCCTAGCCAGCGATGTCCATGTCCCACAAATAAATTTGAAAAAGTGAAACTAGGGATATGGGAATAGGGTAGGAACTGGACTAGAAAGTTAACGATTAGTCTTGTGGATGTCAGAGCAAGCTCAGGGGACCAAAATCTTGTGGTGAAGCCTGGAAGTCACTGGAGACTGGAAGGGGGAAAACACAGGGATAGAGAAATTTGATGATTAAACTCTTACTTATTCATTCATTCACTCATTTGTTTTGTCTGAAACAGGTATTAAAAACTACTCCAACTGGCCAACAATACCTCAGATCTACTTTGACGGTGAATTTGTGGGTGGTTGTGACATTCTACTGCAGATGCATCAGAATGGAGACCTTGTGGAGGAACTGAAGAAACTTGGCATCCGCTCTGCACTTTTAGATGTTGAGAAAGAGGACAAAAAGTAGAATAATCAGTCCCCAGTATCAACTATATTCCTGTCCTGACTGTTGTGTTGTTGTGTGGATGGTGATGGCCGGTTTTATATTGAGTATTACTGTGTCGCCCAACAGATCTTGGAGAAAGCGAGCTGGAATAGGAGCTCATTAGAGGCTGGTGTTAATAAATGAATGATACATGCTCCTTCATCCTTTTGGACCCAACAATTGTAGATCTGGTGGACAAAACAAAATGGTAAAGGAGTTTAAACAGCAGATGGTACAATAGTGATTTTTTTAATGCCTTGGATTTTTAATCAATTAATAAAATGTATTATGTGATTTTTCTTTTAAAATTTGACAGCTATTTTTGAGAGGTGCTTAAAGCCAGTCTATGAATGAGGTCTTGTATTTACCAATACCAACTGAAGCATCACTAAGAGTGAGTATGGCCCTACAGTGGGAGTAGCGTACTGTAGTTCTCCAGCCCATTGCCCACAATTCTCTGGGTGAAGGCACCCTGTAACCAAGGGCATTTGCAACATTGTCAGCCTGGCACTATATGAAATTGCCTATAGTTCCTTACCAACGGATAGCCTGTCTCCTATTTATTCCAATTCCAGAATATCGGCTGATTGATACACTTGTTCTACTAACCTTGGTGTAGAGAGAGCTTTAGTCCGTAACTAACTCTGTGCTGTGCCTTCCCTGGGGAGTGTTTGGGACAGTATAATGGGAGCTTCACTTTGCATTTCACCCCTTGCCATACTTGAATTAATTTCTCAAATTGGAAGGTGGTTTTGAGGTTCACTTGAATGACCCAATATTTTATGGATTTCAAAAGATTAAGAAATGATCTTGTTGTTCAAGAATGCTTAGAGTAAGCTTCCGGAGTATCTACTAGACTATAGGTTAAATGAATGGGTTGTTTAGTGGGGAAAAGTTGAACAGGGCAAACTTGTATCATCTGGAGTTTACAAGAGCAAGAAACAACTTGATTGAAACATCTTGAAGGGAATTGTGGCTGAGAGAACCCTTTTCACCCTTAATTTGCACCTAGTTTACATCTCTATTTCTCTTTATCCCAATTAGCAACCCCTTTGTCTTGTGCACCCCTGGACCTCTGCACCATCTATTCCCCTCTTTGACCTCTGCCTGTGTCAAAAAGTATTTTAAAAATCCCACCAATTTCCTAACTTCTTGCAGTTCTGAAGAATTGTTGCGTCAGATTTAACTATTCCTCTCCCCACAAATGCTGCTGAGTTTCTCCCAATAGTTTCAGAATTTTAGCATCCAGAATATTTTGCTTTTAATAAAGATCCTGAAGGATCTTGACATAATAGAGCTGGAAAGCTTTTCTCTTGTGCAACATTCCAGAACTAGGAATTATTTAACAATGAGTCACCTCCTGAAGACGGAAGTGCATTATTTCTTCCTGGGGCTTAGGAATCTTTGGAACTCTCGTCAAAAGACAGTGTGGGATTGGTGTCTTTAAATATTTTTAAGGCAGATGTAGATTTTCAACAAGCAAGGAGGTGAAAGGTTACTGAGGGTTGGTGAGAATCTGGAGCAGGCTTGAGGGGTCTGAGTGGCTTACTCCTAGTTTGTATGCTTCAGTGCTGAAAAGCTATTTTCCTTGCTTAAAGTTTTAGCAAAGGTTTGTAGCTCGGGTTGTGGGTGAGGTTGTTGACTTGCCAGCTTGGTGAGCAAATCAACAACCTATTTTCCTTGCTACCTGCAGCTGAAATCGTTTAGTTTCCAAGGACCAAAACCAGCCTCTAGCAGAGATCACGGATCAGATGTATAGGATTGAGATGAGAAATTTCACTCAGTGTAGTGCATCTTCGGAATTCTGTCTCCCTGACAGCCTTGAAAGCTCAGTTATGGTTGACAGAAATTCTTGTGCATTAAGTGAGTTTGAATATGGAGATAGGGTTGAAAAGTAGGAGCTGATATAGATGTTGTTTAGTCATGATCTCACTAAACAGCAGAGTAAGGTGGAGGGATATTATGGCCTACTTCCATGATGCCTCAATTTCTGTGCCCCCCCCGCCCAGACCCATTTTAGGCTGTTTCCCTCTGAACTGACTGCACTGTTCTCAAATCCAATCCTGACTTTGTAATTAAGACTGCTGACAAGTGTGGTGCTGTTGTTGTCTGGTATACTGACCATTACGGAGACTGAGCACCAGCTCTCTGATACCTCCTCCTATCTCTCCCTCCCCTGGACTGGGACTCCACAATGCAACACCAGGCTACTGTGTGCACAATAGTCACTAACCTCATTTCATCTCGTGATCTGTCCCCAGTGCAACCCAGATCAATTCCCCTACCCTTCCTGTGTAACCCTACACTTCCCTTTGACTAATGCACCTAACCTGCACATCCTTGGACACTATGGAAAATATAGCATGGCCAATCCACCTAACTTGCACATCTTTGGAATGTGGGAGGAAACTGGAGCATCTGGCAGAAACCCACCCAGATATGGGGAGAATATGCAAACTCCACACACAGTTGCCCAAGGGTGGAATCAAACCTGGGTCCCTAGCATTGCTGGCTCACAGCACTAACTACTAAGCCACTGTGCTGCCCCTAACAGCAAAAATGAGCCTGAGCTTTCAGTTACCTGCCACTTCAGTATGCCACTGTATTCCCTGGCCACTGTGTCTGTGTCAGGCCTGCTGCAGTGTTCTAGCACAAGCTGGAAGAACAGGACCTCATTTTCCAGTTGGGAACTCTGCAACCTTCTGGACTGTATCAAGTTCAATAATGTTAGGGCTTCAGCAATTTCTCCCATATCCTTACCCCAACCCCCACACACCAGGCCTTGTCATCACATTTCCTGAGGAAGAGTCACTTAACCTGAACGTTAACTGATTTCTCTCCACAGATGCTCCCAGACCTGCTGAGCTTTTCCAGCATTTCTTGTTCTTGTCATCACATGGCCCACTACCACACATAACCCATTGTCAGCTACTAACAGTCCCCATTAGCAGCTGTTCATTCTCCTAAGGTAACCTTTACTCATTCTCTTATGTCAAACTGTTTTTTTTCTCTCTTGGGCTCTACGTCCACCTATCACTTATTCGTCTCTCCCGCCACTCACCCCATCTTCTGCATAAATACAACCTGTTCCTAGCTACTGTCAGTTCTGAAGAAGGGTCACTGGACCCAAAACATTAACCCTGCTTTCTCTCCACAGATGCTGCCAGACCTGCTGAGTTTTTCCAACAATTTTTGTTTTTTGATTCTGATTTTCCTCAGTTCTTTCAGTTTTTAGGTGAAGCAACTATACAGGACTATATGTATATGCTAAACAGCAAGTAGCCTGTGATAAGTGCTTTCAGTCATTGGATTAGATCAAACTCTGGAGTCCTGTCACATCCTGTTCTGAATAGTGGTGAATAATAGCAGTGAAACAGAGAAGGGGCTGGTGTAGAATTCTTCACTAATTATCATAACTAGCACAAACGAAAGTGGTTATGGGAAGCTGATAATCTTTTTTCATGAGATCTGTATGGAATTTCCTCGATGGTGTCCCAGATACAACTATCTTCATCAATGACCTTCCCTCCACCATACGATCAGAAATGTGAATGTTTGCTGAGCATCATTATTCACTGCTCAGCGTCATTTGTGACCTCTCGGATACTGAAACAGCCTGTGTCTGTCTGCATTCCGACCGGGACAAATCCAAGTTATACTGACAAAAGGAAAGTAGTGTCTGTGGCACACAAGTGCCAGGTAATGATGATCTCCAACAAGAGAGAATCTAACTATTAAAGAAAACACAGTGGGGAGCTGGAGGAACACAGCAGGCCAGGCAACATCAGAGGAGCAGGCCAGTCGATGTTTTGGGTCAGGACCCTTCATCACAACAGCTCTGATGAAGGGTCCCGACCTGAAATGTCAGCTTTCCTGCTCCTCTGATGCTGTCTGGCCTGCTGTGCTCCTCCAGCTCCACACTGTTATCTCTGACTCCAGCATCGGCAGTTCTCACTGTCTCAGAATCTAACTATTGCCTCTGTCCATTCAAAGGCATTACCATTGGAAATAATCCCTCACTATCAACATCCTGTGGGTTATTATTGTTCAGAAACTGAACTGGGCCAGCCATATAAATAGCATGGTTAAAAGGAGATGGGAAAGTGGGAATTATGTGGCAAGTAACTTATCGGACTCCCCAAAGCCCGTCCGCCACCACCAAGGCACAAGTCAGGAGTGTGATGGATTACTTCCCACTTGCCTGGATGAGTGTAGTTCTAGCAAGACTCAAAGACCGCATTCAGGCCAAAGCTATGTTCCTGATCTGAGCCCTAATCTATTATTCTAACTATTTATATCCTGCATCATTGATACATTTGGTATGCACAGTTGCCTCTGTGTAAGATGCATTATAGCAATCCACTAACCCTCTTTTTGACAACATGTTCCAAACACGGTGTCTAACAAATAGAAGGGCAAGAGTGGATGTTACATGGAAACACTGCCATCTGCAGGTTCCCATGCAAGCTACACATTGACCTGACTTCTCTAGAATCATAGATACCCTACAATGCAGTCAGACGCCATTCAGCCCATCAAGCTTGCACCAACTCTCCGAAGAGCACCCCACTGCCCGCCATCGCTGTAACCCCTGCATTTCCCATAGCTAATTTAACTAGCCTACACAACCCTGGACACTACAGGTAATTTAGTGTGGCCAGTCCACCTAACCTGTACATCTCTGGACTGTGGGAGGAAACCAGAGCACTTAGCAAAAATTCACGCAGACACAGAAGAACATGCAAACTCCACACAGTCGCCGAAGGTTGGAATCAAATCCAGGTGCCTGGGGCTGTGAGGCAGCAGTGCTAACTACTATTCCCCCATGCCATCCAAACGCCTAGTGTGTGGCTGGACCTCATGAGTCTGATGGAGCCTCAAACTCTACTGAATGAACTAGTTAGGCTCAACTATGCCACCTGCTGGATTGAATCCTGGAGCTCCTTTTCTAACACTGCAACTTGTGAACTGCAGTCATTCGGGAAGGTACTCCCCAACGCTTTCTCAAAGGGAAGGGCAATAAATACTGGCCTTGAAAATGATGCCCACCTCTCAGTTTTTCAGACAGAGGTTTCTGGTGGGGATCCATCTTGCTGTCCTTCTGAGATCCCCAGTGTCAGGTGTCAGTCCTCAGTCAATTTGATTCATTCCATTGACATCAATAAATGGCTGAGTCACTGGATTTTTAAAAATATTCTTTCACTGGACCGTGTGTGTACCTAGTGTTATTGGAGCTGCTCACACCTAAACGAGTAAAGAACACTCCTGTCTGACCTGTGCCTTGAAGATGGTGAATAGGCTTTGAGAAGAGAGGTAAGTTGAACATCACAATTCCCAGCCTTGACCTATCTGAAGTATTCACAACTTGGATTATGCTCCTGCCCAAGCTGTCCAAGCACAGCTAGAACACTAGCACCCACCCAACAATGCCCAGCATGCATATCTTCAAAAAGCAGGGTTAAATCCCATCAGAAGGTACCCAGACCTGCAAATGCTGGAGTAGGAGGAAACACAGCAGGCCAGGCAGTATCAGAGGAGCAAGAAAGTTGATGTTTTGGATCAGGACCCTTCATCGGAGCTGGGAAATGGCTAGGGGGAGGTAGATGGGATGGTGGATGCAAGTAGAGGGTGGTGGGGTAGGTGAGAGAGAAGATGGGCAGGTTGTGTCAGGTCAAGGAGGCAAGAGGGAGGATGGGTGGGGCTGGGGAAAGGTAGGTGAGGTGGTGATAGTTGGTTGAGTTCTGCACCATCTGAGCCATTCAATGTGTTCATGGGCTGCAACTCCACTTTCCTGCCTACTCCCTATTTCCCTTGATACCCTGAATCAACAAAAAATTATTTCTCTCAGCCTTGAATACACTTAACTGTGTAGCTGCGTATGGAATCTAACTATTTATAACATTCAATGGCATTACTATTGCAAAATACCTTATTGTCAACGTTTTGGGAATTATCATTTAGCAGAACATTATATGGTCTCATTTAAGTACTGTGGCTGCAAAAATGGGTAAGAGGCGAGGAATTCATCTGCTGACTTCTTGAGACCTGCCTATCCTCCATAAGGCATTTTGATGGAATATTCTCACCTGCCTGGATGAGTTCCTGATGTGGAAGTGCTGGTGTTGGACTGGGGTAGGCAAAGTCCTAAGTCACATGACACCAGGTTATCGTCTGATGTCGTGTGATTTCCAGGTAAGTCCCTCTCCAACAATACTCAAGAAACTTGACACCATTCAGGATGAAGCAGCCTGCTTAATTGGTGCTCTCCATCCATCAACTTCAACTTTCACTTCCTTTACCAGTGATGCACAGCAGCAGTAGTGTGTACCTTCTACAAGATTCACTGCAGCTACTCATAGAGGCTCTATTGGGCAATATCTTTTTTTTAAAAATGCCAACCGTAAGACAATTAGGAGTGGGCACCTGCCAGTGAACTATTAATAAAATGTTTAATGGAAAGTATCAGCCCAAAAGTTACCAATGTGAGTAAAAAAAGCTGGAGCTGCACTGTCAAGATTTTCAGGTGTCATGATGATGGAGCAAGATTCTGAACTAATTATGGATATGTTGAACCTTTGAGTAAAGGTGTTTTGTTTTTTAAAAGAACAAATTGTAAGCCAAGTCTGACTGACTGGTCCATAATGTAACTTCTAACAATGGAATTCAGTGCTGAAATACTCCTGGTGTGAACCACTGAATATCACACCTTGTAGGATGCTAAGGTACTTGGAAGAGAAACTTCAAAATGCAAAGGTGCAAGGTAATCAAGTTATCTTCTCTTAGGAAAATAGCTGCGGGTCTCACATCCAGAGTCTGGAGTGTAACAAACAACGTGTTTGTGTTTTACCCTTCCAGACATATACAAAAGGAGGGATTAAAAGCCAACTGCATGCCCTGAGCTATGATAAATATTCTAGTGTGCTATGAAGGTTACAGTTTGAGGACAGCAGTTAGCCGCCCTTATGCTGAAGATAAAAAGAAAAGACAGCATCTCCCTTTCTCTCTCAGTGCTGGAAGTCCGTCACTGTCGAAAAGGATACAGGCCAACAGAATTCCAGCCAACCTGCAAAATCAAACATCTTAAGTCGACTGCTCAACTACCTGCATGAACTGTTCTGTCATCAACCTGTGTAATGGTTGCAACATTTCCAACATTATTTTAACTTTTATCTCTTTATGGATTCATTTCTGATTTCTACTCTGTATATTTGTGTTGTCAAATTACTTTTTCTTGCATTTAATCACTTAATAAACTCACTCTTTCTTTGATTCAAGAAAACCTAATTAAATCGGCTCCTTTTAAAACACAAATTCATTTAATCTGGAAGAACGGTATCCATAAGGAAACAATGCATTTTAATTAATCTTGTTGCAACCAGCCAACTGCATGAATAAAGAAGGGGAACTGGTTCATCCCTTCTCAGCTGGGAGAATGACGATTTGGGGTGGCTCATTTGTAACCACAATGAATTGGGGAACCTCACCCAGGCCTGCTCATAACATAGGTTATGTTATCCTTTCATCATAGCATACTTAGCGAGAACGGGAGTGGGAAATCTGAGTCAAAGTTTATGTAGACTATATCACTAAGCACATAACATAGGGTAACCCACAACTATAGTAACCTATTAATCAACTTTTAATACTAAGCCAAAGAGGAAATAACTTTTGAGGGCCATCTGAAGGAACTGGGGAGGGAAGGAGTTTTTTTTTAATATTCATCCAGGGTATGATGGTGTTGCTAGCTGGGCCTGCTTCCTTAGTTGTCCTAGAGAAGGTGATGGCACTTACTTGAACTACTGCAGTCCACTCGTTGCCAATTGGATACTGTACTGCCAGCTGCAGGTGTTAAAAATCCTATTTGGCCATGTGATGGAATTGGAGCTTTTGCCATAGTTCCAACTTACAACTTACAACTTACAAGTAAAAGTATATGATACTACAGTAACTCACTCCTTGGTGTGAATTGTAATAGATCAGCAGTGTTTCCTTAGTATTATTTATGTGCTACAGATGTAATTTGTGGCATTTGATGATGGGCATAAACACTAGGAGTGGATCAAACAATGCGACTGGCAGAACTGAACAAGCTGGATAACTGTCCTGGCTTTACCCAGATCATATTTATGATCACATTCACTTCATGGTTATGAAATAGACAACTGAGGGACTGTCATGACCTTTTCCCCCCATTTCATAAACACTGAACTGTGCCAATGTCAAATCTCAGGACAGCTGGTTCTCTTCTCTCCCAAATTAGAGCTTCACTGAGTGGGTGTGTTTGACTGCAGTTGACACTATATTAGGAGTGAGGAGAGGTGCGCTGCCGATCTTAATGGGAGAGGACCGTAACGAGTGTAAAACATAGGCAAACTTCAAAGGAATGAGACATTGATTGACCACAATAAACTGGCTGAATCTATTAATGACTTGTTCCTTTCATAATCTCAGGACTTTCCAAAGCTTGTCACAGTTGAGTAAGTACTTTTGATGTGTTGTCACTGTTACAGGAGACGCAACGGGCAATTTGCACAAAGCAAGCTATCCTAAAAGCCATGTGATGTTGACTACAAACTCTACTTTTAGTGATCTTAGTTAAGGATGAATATTGGACTTCAGAAAACTCTACGGCTTCTTGTCAACAAAGTGCCACCTGAATGGGCAATTAGTTTGGCATCTCAATTCGAAGACAGTGCAGCAACCCTTCAGAGTGCTATCCTGTAACCTTACAAACAGTAGAAAGTATTCAAAGACATATTTGGTACGATGCGAGTACCTCTAAAAGGCAAAGACTCTACTCCTGAACCAAAGTCAACTGATGAGGTAAGGAACAGTGCCAAGATAAATAAAGTGGCTTATAAAAATAAAAGCAGATCCTCTACATTGGGAGATCTGTAAAGAGCAATAAAATATACATAGGGTGTAATAAATGATGCAGAAAGAGAATGAAGAGTATAAAAATTTTTCTCAAAATATTAAGACAAGCGAAGGAGAGTATCGGTCAACCAAGATAGACATAGACTGTATTTTGCAAAAGAGAAAGTGAAATGAATTATGCAGAGTTCTATACAACAGCTGAAAGATCAGCCTCACAGAGTGCAGTGGAAGAAGTGGAAAACACAAGCATGAGCAGCTAGGGACCAATAGTCTGCTGAGCGCACCTTCATGACTGTCAGGGACCCATACACCGTGAGAGTCAGCACCTTCAGGAGAGGAGGGGGATCCTGTACCCCAGTGAGAGTCAGCACCTTCAGGAGGGGGACCCTGTACCCCAGTGAGAGTCAGCACCTTCAGGAGAG